TCTTTCTTTCTTTCTTTCTTTCTTTCTTTTAAAAAAATAGTTTTTATTAAACATTTTAATCTTTAAAAAGAAAGAAAAACACAACAACAACAAACAAAAAACAAAACATACGTAACAATATAAAGTAATTATACAGCTTTCAAGTTTAGCCTTTATAGTTCTCCATTCTGCATTGCCTTCCTATGATTTTACCTTGTCCAATAATATAATAACAGTAGTACTAACACTTGTAATATTGTTTATATCACCATTATATTTACATTCTCTATTTTCTGTTTTGGCTTCTGTTTTCTAGCCGCTTTTTTTTCTTACTTACCTCTTTGAAATCTTGGTGCGTCTTATACACCGGTGTACCTTATAGTCCAAAAAACACTATAAAGTTGTGCATAAAATTGTTGACTGCAGTGCCAATACATCTGAAGGATACCAGTTGGGTAAGGTTTAATCCAGGGGCGGGCAACGATGGCATCTTTATGAGCTGAGGACTTCAACTCCCAGAATTCCCAACTTCTCCGAACTGAAGTTCGCTTGCCATAGTTGCTCACTCCTGGCCTATAATCCGAGATCTGACCCTTATTCAGAGATTCTTGGATAGAATTCTCCTTGCAATTCCAGGTCATGCAAAAAACATCCTTCTAATTCTCCATCAAACCCAACAACAGAAGCTGTCAACTAGTTTAAACTGATCCAAAAAGGTGATGAATGCAAATTGTTTTGCAAAACTGGATAAGGTCTTCCAGAAAACCCAAGTTCTTGAAAAGACAGAGACAGAGACAGACAGAGATAGACAGATAGACAGAGAGACAAAGAGAGAGAGAGAGAGAGACAGACAGACAGAGAGTGAGAGACAGACAGACAGACAGACAGAAGCAGAGACAGTTAGACAGAGAGAGACAGAGATAGAATCTCCTATGGAAAGCCGTCTGTGGTTCTCAACTGCACAGATTCTCTGCCATAGAGTCAGTCCTCTGAGCCAACTCACCGGACAAAAGTGACAGGGAAAGACATAAGACACAAAAGGGAAGCAGAGTCAAAATAAATTACCTGGTGGTATTTTGCACACAGTGGCTGGGTGCCAGCCATAACGCTGGTTGCAGTTGGGGGACTGGACAAATATGGCACTGTCACTAAGGCACTCGGCAAAAACTTCCCCTCCAATGTAATACAACCTCACTCCTCTCCCTAGAAAACACAAGTTCAACATCAGGACAGCAAAGAAGACAAAGAGTTCCATCTCTTTTTTGAAAGCCCAGAAGGATTCCTTTGGGTCTTCCCTCCCTCCCTCCCTCCCAGGCATCAAGAGACACCGAAGATCTTTGCAACCTTCTTCCAAAAAGCAACTTATGTGGTGCTTTGTAACCTATCTTGACTATGTCTATGGAGAGTCTCAATCATCCAGGTCCTGGTTGTCCCAAAGGTGTTTTTCTTCTCTCTACATGGCCATTAAGATATCCCAAAGGTGTCTTTCTAGAAGACATCTGGACTTTCTTGGTTTTTCCTTGAAAACGTCCAGAACTGAAGAAGCTTCTTGGATGAGAGGTGAAACATTTTCAAGGAACAACCAAGAAAGTCCAGTTGCCTTCTGAAAAAAACACCTTTGGGATATCCTGAGCAGGGGTGAAATTCAGAAGTTTCTGACAGGTTCTGGAGAACCGATAGTGGAAATTTTGAGTAGTTCGGAAAACCAGCAAATACCACATCTGGCTGGCCCTAGAGTGGGGAGGGAGTGGAGATTTTGGAATATCCTTCCCCTGTCATGCTTACCAAGCCACACCCACATAATGTAAAAAGTAAAAAAAATTGAATTTCACCACTGATTCTGATGGCCATGCAGTGAGAAGTCTGGGCTGAATTATGTATCTTGGTTCACCACGGGAGGAGAAATTGAGAGCTGGACAGAAGTTGACCCCTCTGCATCCCAGGGATAGGCAATTTGATGCTGCTCAGGAATTTTGGGCTTCAGTTCTCACCAACGTGGCTAAAGGCTGATGGGAAGCATAGTCTGAAACATCTGGAATGTGCCTTCTCTGTGCTATAGCCACTACCATATGCAAGTTATCTTAGGCCATAAGTTGCTTTCTAATAAGTCAGCCCCCTTTTCTGTAGCCTCCAGGAAGAGGCACTGATGGAAATTCCATTATTTAAAAAGTCCAAAACTGATGAAATCACTACAGCTGGAACAAAGTTTGTTTGGGTTTTTTTGGAATCTCCAAAGCATGGCAGTTCTACTTAATTCCCTCTGTTCATTGACTCCAAGAAACTGCTGCCTGCTGGAAAAAAAATGTTATGACTTGTTCACATGACTCAAAAAGAGCACCACTAAGAAACACAACTTTTTCAGAATTGGATAGGACATTTTGAGAGACTGGTTTGTAAAGTTGTTGCTCTCATCCTGTGAAAGGGAGTCCAGCTTTCCATTTGTGTTGGTGAGAGAGCCAGCTGTAATAAACAGAGTTAAAGAGCGTGCCTGTATGAAAATCACAGAAAAGTTGATGCCTTCCAAACATTAAGTTTATTATATAAACAAGAAAGATAATAAAGTCAGACAGTCTGTAATTCAATATGCAGCATCACTTTAGACGGGGTAGGGAACTATGGTCCCTTTATAACTTGTGGACTTCAACTCCCAGAATTCCTGAGCCAGTCTGGCATGTATGGCTCCTTTATGATCCATGGACTTCAACTCCCAGAATTCCTGAGAAGAATTCTGGGAGTTGAAGTCCACAGATAATAAAGGGGCCATAGTTCCCCACCCCCAACTTAAGATAAGCAAAAAAGCTATGTGTGTCCTAAAGGCTAAACTCTCCTGGCTGAGTTGTTTATGCAGGGCCTGAGTCCCTTCCACCCCCACCCCCCTTTCCAGCCCCCTCCCCCAAAGACAAGGTGATGGAAGCTACCAATGTGCCGCCTGGTGAGCTCCACTGCTGCGTTGCGGTTGACATTGGAAAGCAGGCCAAGGCAGAAGCGCTCTGAATTTGATGGGTCCGTGAAACCATCCACGGTCATTGAGGGCTGAGAAGCATGGAATGTCTCTCCCACTCGCTGGTTGAGCTCATAATAGGAAATGGAGCACCAGAAGGCAGGTTCACAGTAGGTGACCGGCTGGAGATCTGCAAAGAAAAAAGTGGAGAAGATAAACTTTGCTTCTTCTCACATGTACAGTTTTACCAGCGGCTTAAAAATGTGTGCAGGTGGTCCTCGGTTTATAAGTAAAATGTTTACAGGTAGTCAGAATAATAGAATAACAGAATAGCAGAGTTGGAAGGGACCTTGGAGGTCTTCTAGTCTGATCCCCCCCTCAAGCAGGAGACCTTATACCATTCCAGAAAAGTGGCCAATCTCTTCTTCAAAGCCTCCAGTGATGGAGCACTAACAACTTCTGAAGGCAACTTCTGTTCCACTGGTTAATTGTTCTCACTGTCAATAAATTTCTCCTTAATTCTAGGTTGCTTCTCTCCTTGATCAGTTTCCATCTGTTGCTTCTTGTCCTGCCTTCAGGTGCTTTGGAGAAGAGCTTGATCCCTCCTCTCTTTGTCAGCCCCTCAAATATTGGAAGATTGCTATCATGTCACCCCTTCTTTTCACTAGACTAGACATACCAAATTCCTGCAACCGTTCATCATATGTTTTAGCCTCCAGCCCCCTAAATCATCTTGGTTGCTCTTCTCTGAACTCTTTCTAGTCTCAAGAGATTGGCCAACCATTTGTCTGAAAATGTATAGGGTTTCCTGCTTGAGCAGGCATGTTTGACTAGAAGACCTCCAAGGTCCCTTCCAACTCTTTTATTCTGTTAATTATTATAACAGTATTGTAGCCCAAAAAAGGTAGTAAAATCAGGTGAGACCCACTTAACTGTCTTGTTTAGAACAGAAACTGTGGTTGTAAGTCAAGGAATAGCTGTATTTTTAGTTCTTCAAGGAGTCTAGTAAGATCCAGGAGGAGGAAGGGTTGCATTACAAGCAATTATTTTTCTAATGATACACAGGTATCCCTCAACTAAGCTAGACATCCAATACATGCCCTCCAGTTAACTAAATCATGGTTTGTTGAATAATACCAATAGCACTTAGATACCACTTCACAGTGCTTCACAGCGCTCTCTAAGCGGTTTACAGAGCCAGCCTCTTGCCCCGAACAATTTGGGTTCTTGTTTTATTGACCTTGGAAGAATGGAAGGCTGTGTCAACCTTGAGCCTGGTGAGATTTGAACTGCCAAATTGCAGTCAGCCGCCAGTCAGCAGAAGAAGCCTGCAGTACTGCACTCTAACCACTGCGCCACCATGGCTCATATAAACCAACATTTTGGGTTTAAATTAGGTTTTCGAATATAAAATATAGCAATTAGTTTGCAAACAAGATCAATAAAACTAAACTAAAACTAAACTATAATGGGCAGATTCACACAAATTGTGAGGTCAAAACCAAGCCACCTTCTGGCTTCTTTGCAATGTGCATAATTAACTGGTCCAGGAAAAGGGTGTTCTGGGAAATCACCCATGCTGTGCACAGTGGCACGGGAAAGGGGGACGGGGTGTCAGAAAATTAGGAAGATGACCACAGTGGCACAAACAGCCACCTCTTCAGTATGTGCACTATCGCATGCAGAAGTAGAGAAGCATTAGTCACATCACAGTGGCCACCATCTTGAAGTATTTGACTCCTGTCCAAAAATGTTGCTGGTCACTCAACACATTCAACCTCATTCCAAGGCATGGAAGGGTTGCAGCCGGTTGATGATGCAGTTTGGAGCTGCTACCATATTGCACAATGATGATGCATGGCACGCTTGTCTGACCCAAGTTTTACCAAAGTTTTGGAGATAATTGCTACTAATTAGAATAGACATATAAAAAGGTGGTGGATCAGCCCGGAAGTCCAGCTTTTGTTCCTACCCTGGCCAATAGCAATAGCCCTTATATTTATATACCACTTCAAAATGCTATACAGCCCTCTGTAAGCGGTTTACAGAATCAGCCTCTTGCCGCCAACAATCTGGGTCCTCATTTTACCGACCTCGGAAGGACAGAGTCAATCTTGAGCCATTCAGAATCGAACTGCTGGCAGTGGGCAGAATTAGCCTGCAATACTGCTTTCTAACCACTGTGCCACCAGGGCTCATAACTTTGGGAAGATGAGACTAAGGACATTCCAGCAAAATACATGAGTTTTCTGTATCCAAAGTAAGAGGCAAATTGCTACGGAAAGACATCGGATGACCAGCTTTATTCTCCATCCATTGGCGTAATTCTCTTTTAAAGCCACCAAAGATCTGCTCCCACCATATTTCAGGCTTAGTTTAGTTTAACTCTGCATTGTGTGAACAACATCAGTATACCTGCCTTGAATCCACCACTCTTAACATTTCATTGGATGATCCAACATGGGGTTGAAACACTGAAAATGACAACAGCTTCCAGATTTGTCAATGAATACAACCAAATGGTGGATGAGGACTTGGACTGCAGTCCAGTAGAGGTTGAGTGGGCAACATCTCCAAGCCAAGCAGAGTTGAGCGAAATGTTATTGGTGTCTGTGAGCCTCTTTTCAGTGGATGTTAACAAGAGCGAGCTAAATGCCACAAGACATTTGTTACTTAAATCATATTCATGCAAGATTCAAGAGCTGGCTAGTTGCCGCACATCTGTTTTCTCAATCAGGAACCAAAATAGTTTTTTTAAGAGAACTGGAAGTGATCTCAGAGTGGATTGCTTCCTTCGGATACGTACATTCATCTTGTCCCAGAGAGAAACAGGTGGCAGAACTTCAAGAGAAAATACAACCTGACAAATCTATTAACTGGGAGTGAAAGTGGAATGAGAATGCTAAATGTTGAGTCTTTTTTTCACAATAGGTCCCAATTAAAGCCACAGTTGTGCAGCACCCTCTGTGACTCTGCCTTCAGCTCCCAGGGTAAAAATCAAAGGCCCCACATTATGCTACACTTACCCAGATTACTGTGTGCAGGAGACATCGGATTCGGAGATAAATTTGGAGAACCTAGCGGGGCAGAAGGAAATTCAATGAGCCACTCTCAAACAGACTGTCATTCAGATCACACATTGCACTAACCCCAAGTTTGCATAATTGTGATCTGTTGAATAAGCCACAGGAATTGTCTTCACATGCTAAGCCAAAGTGTTTTGGTGCAGTGTACAAATTGGTTAAATTTTAAGTGTGGGTCTCATTAATCTCCACAACGCTTCCTCAAGAAAACTCTACGTTTACAATTCTAGAGTCCAAAAAGTGATCTTAAATGCTTCGGTGGGTCCAGGTTGCTTTAGGACTGGGTGAACATTGCAGAAAGCAAAGCTATACCACCTCCTCTAATTCAGGCTTGCGACGGGGGGGGGAGGGGGGGAACCAACTTTAACAAGGTTCATTTTGCCATTTGCCAAATTCAAGGAATATCTGCCTCCCTCTATTTATGGACTTCTGGAGAACTGCAGATGGCAAAGATGGAACTAAAATGGGAGAGAAGCAGAATTGGGTTTTGTACTCCCATTCAGTAATTTCTGATTAGAAATAGTTATTTTAGATACATTTGTCATGTTTCATGGCTTCTATCAGCAGTACAGTGCCGTTCTCCCCAGCCATGAACTGCGGCTCTCTCAGGCTAATATTCTTCTTGAGAAATTGCCATCAGAGAGTTGTTTTTGCTGCTTAACTAAGCTAAGAAGCCAAGATTAAGGCCTGTTCAATGTGCATCTCCTCCCTACATGGCTGGGCTTGAACCCAGGACTGTGGCTTTCCTTGTCAGCGTCAGCTGCAGCAGGAAAAATAATTCCTGGGCAGAGAAGGAGAAAATGTTGGGTTCTCCAACCTTGGTAACTTTAAGCCTGGAGGACTTCAATTCCCAGAATTCCCCAGCCAGTCATTGTTCATGTTAAGACTCGCATGGGCTCTCCAAAATCTGTCCTTCCAGCAGTGAATAAGTAATCAAAAGCAGAATAGGTCTGGTTTCATTGATCTGGGAGAGCCACACCATCCAATTATGACTGGGTTTGGGTGACCAGATCTTTCAACGTAAGGCGGCCCACTCAAACTTGTAGAAATGTAGTGTTTCAAGGAGAGAACCTTAAAGAATGGGAATTCCCTGCACCCAGAAATTAAGTTTTCACCATAAAAGACCTAGTTACCCTAAAATTACCCAACAGGCTAGGATGCTCAGAACTCCCAGACACAATATAAGCACAAACCCAGCATATCTGGAACAAATAAGGTCAGTGAAAACAGCAACAATTTTCCCCAGGGAGCTAGAACAGGGCTCTCCAACCTTGACAACTTTAAGCCTGGTGGACTTCAATTCCCAGAATTCCCCAGCCAGCTGGAGACTCCTGAACTAGAAGACACCTATGGTTAAAGCTGTACAGAGCACAGAGCAAAAATATTTCATCCTGGGTGCCTAAAAAAATCTACATGGACCTTAAAAAAAAAAAGCCTTCAAAAATGTCTTTGGGTTGATTGTTCCTACCAGCCACCATTGCTATAACTTCTTCTTTCTTTCTTTTTCTGGGAAGTTGCCAAGGTTGCAGACCCCCTGAACTAGACCAAGGTGGGGAGGTGAGGGGGTGGGGCGAGGAGGCAAGATCACAGAGACCAGGAAGCGAGAGGAGGAAAGGATCCCCTGAGGGATGGGATGAGTTTTCAAGACTTGGCCAGAGATAAGTTGCGAGACAAGAGCACCATTTCATTTAATCCCACAAAAACCATTTCCCGGCTGTGATTTACCTGCATCTAAACTGTGGTTCATTTGATGGTCGCTGGTGTCTCCATCCTCACTCAGATATCCGGGAGGCGGTGTCTCTGAAGAAGGTGGGGGAGAAAAATTAAAACAGAGCTTTTACAAAAGCCGCCCCATTCCCAACCGCACCGAGCTATTTATCAGATGTCCCGTCTGTTTTTCTATTCAGTCAAGATCCCAAGACAGGCCAACCAAAATCCAAATACCAAGTAGAAAGCATGACTCAAAACTAATAAAAATGTTAACAAATTATTAAAACGCCTGGCAAGACAGACGCCTCTTGGCGACTTTTCTAAGAGGAGAAGTCAGGAGAGCTCCGGTTGGGGGGAGGGGGAAATCTGCAGCCTAGGATCACGCAGGAGAAGGCCTCCTCCTCCTCCTCCTCCTTCTCTTCCTCCTCTTGCCTGCAAAATGTGACAGCCAAAGAGACCCAAAAGACGAGCACAAAAGAGTAAAAAACTCTGCTGAAGGTTTGATCTTTGCAAAATAAAAAATAAGCGAAGGGCTTTATTCTTTCTTACCCCCCCCGGTCGTGAAATAAGCACATCTGCTAACAGATGTGACGCTCACCAGGGAATAGTGGAAGGTCGGGGTTGGAAAGAAATTGAACTGGGGGTGTAGATAAGCAGAGGGAGGCCCTGGAGTAGGAAGTCCACCAGAAGGGAGGAAGGTTTTGGTCAATACTTTCCAAAAGGATCCTCCTCTCACACCCATAATTAGTAGGTTAACCACAAAACCGGTGACAAAAAAATAAATAAAACAATTTTTGCCACTGGTTCCGTGGGCATGGCTTGGTGGGGGGGTGTCATGTGACTGAGTGGGCGCGACCAACTTTTTTTTCACTTTTTCAAGCATTTTTTTTCCTGCCGGTTTGGGCAAATAGGTAAGAAAAAAATGCTTTAAAAAGTGGGGGGGGGGGGAAAAAGATTCAACCATCGTGTGGAGCAGCTGTGAGCAGTGCAATCATCGGAACTTTTGAAAGCGCCTGTTCGCCTGAACCGGCAGGAAAAAAATGCTTCAAAAAGTGGGGGGAAAAGATTCCGACAATCGCACGGCTCACAGCTGAGCCTCGGAAGGTTTTTTTTACCAGTTCGTAGAACCAACGACAATCGTCCCTACTGATTCAGCCGAACCAGGTGGATTTCACCCCTGGGGGTAACATAGCAAGAGGGGGGGGGGAGAGAAGGGGCATTTTTCTCCTTTGCCTGCTGCCTGTGAGAAGACCTGAAGCCCCCCCGCACCTCCCGTGCCAAAGTGAAGAGAGGTTCCTGGGACTCAAAAGGAAGCCCCTTCCCACTTCCTCTCTTCTTCCTGGGGATGCCATACCTGGAATGTAGTTGCTCTGAGGTTCGATGCCAGCTGGGAAATTCGTGTTCTCNCCCCCAACAATCTGGGTCCTCCTTTTACTGACCTCGGAAGGCTGGAAGGCTGAGCCAACCTTGAGCCGGTCAGGATCGAACTGCTTGCAGTGAGCAGAATCAGCCTGCAATTCTAAACACTATGCCACCATGGCTTTTATTAATCATAATCTGAGTATTTGGTTGATCCAAAAAATGTGGACATTCTCCTTGCAGGAGGAGGAGGGGAAAAGGAAGGAGGAGAATGCTGAACATTGATATTCACGCAATCCTTAAATCTTAATATTGATTTTCAGATTTATAACTGAATAATATATTCAATAATATATATTCAATTATTTGCAATCAAGTAACATATTATAGTTTTTATGACATTTCCAAGTCCCTTTTTTATTCATTTGTATCCTAACCATTTAATCCTTTTTTCTTTCCTGGTTTTATATTTTTTCTAAGCATCTAATAAAAATGTATTAAAAACCATTAAAGCAGCAGAAAACCAGCCAATTGATTACTAATTCTAGCAGGATTTCGGTGTTCTTCTGTGAGATAAAATTGCACCTGAATTATCATTGTCCCCATTGAAAAATAGTTCAATCCTTGGTCCTGGCGTGAAGTGTTAACCCACATTGATTTCATGCAGCCGTCGGGCTAATATTGAAAGGCAAGAGATCGGTCCAGGTGGCCAGTTAAAAAATGGTGTGGCCAATGGAGGCCAGCAGGCAAATTTCTCTTGCTCCACTGACCAGAGCGGAGGAGGCTGCAGTGAGGCTCATCCTCCTTGGTTTCTGCTCTCTAACCAGCGCAACTGTCTTTTGGGGCTTTAAACAGACAATAACCCCAGAAGGCTCTGTGGGTTCTCTCTATGACTTGCACAAACCACAAAACGCCCACCGGGCTGGGATCCCAAAGCAGAGCGGGTGTTAGGTTTACAAACCTCAGAAGAAGACAAATGAATAGACAGACTGGTGTTTGCAGCCAAAAGCCAACTTTTTTGAGCGCAACATGGCTGCTTCGTGAGTGCAGTGGGGTGGGGATGGGTGGGACAGACAAAGGCAAGTGAATTCTTCCTTGATTTGAGTTTGAAACTTGGTGGCTCCGTGGATGCCTCTAGGTTTCCCAGTGCCATCTTTTGCTATAAACGGGGGTGGGTAGGGTGGTTCACCGACAAAACCGCGCCATACAAATGAGCGGCATCAAAATCGCTAATTGATTTTTGACAAAAGTGCGCCGACAAATGTGCGCCGACAAAATCACGTCATCAACAAACTACATAGTGAAACGCATATACGTACGTTATAACCCTAACCCTAATTTCTTTTATATTTTATTGTGCTTGTTGTCGCGCTTTTGTCATTGTGCTTTTGTCGTCGCGATTTTGACATCGCGTTTTAATCAGCGCTATTTTGTCAGCGCGCATATGTCTATCGCGCAATTGTCAGGTCACGGGGTAGGGTGGGGGAGTGTCTCGGCAATTCACCAAATGCCCAACTTGCAAAGAAGTGAGGTGGCATTTTGTCCTTTTCCCAGCAATGTCTCCCCCCACACCAATTGCTTGAGCTTGGGGTTGGACTATGAAAGTTTTTTATTTTTATTTCTCACAGATACATTCACAAATATACAATCTCATAGCTATTATTAATAATATCTGTTATTTTGACATTGATAACAATTCATTTCTCCTCCTAAAATTAAAAATATAATCCAGCTTGCTTTCCTGCCATCCCGTATATCCTTCTTGTTTTATAACAACCCTACTTCTTCTTCCCTCTTTTCTCCTTCCCTCCCTTCTTCTCTACTTTCTTCCTCTCCTTTTCTCTTTCTTCTTTCCCTCTCCTTTCCTCTCTCCGCTTCTCCTACCTTTCCCTTACTCCTCCCTCCCTTCCCCCTTTCCGTTGTTGTGTTTACATATTTCCTCTTCAATCCGATGTATTTTTGGGATGCTGTTCGCGCAAACCCGGTTCTGTATTTAGATAACAATCTTAATTTCCCTCTTCCTCATTTTATTTTTCATTTTAATAATTACATCATCCTTTAAATGTATATTTATATAGTAATAACTTTCTATTTTCCCTCTCTTTCCCCCGCCCTCATTTAATAGTGTGTCATCTGGGTTTCTATTTCCCTTTTTTTTCCAGCTTGGGGTTAGACTAGAAGACCTCCAAGGTCCCTTCAAAACTCTGTTATTTTTATCACTTCAGCTTACCTTTGTCTTCTATTTTCCCTGAGTGGGTATGCACACTTGCAGAGCAACCCTTTGGGGGGGCAGGGATCCCACCCCATTTTTAAAAATGCTCCTGAGGACTACATGATGCTGGGAGAAGCGAAATATTAAATTAGTTGGACTCAGGCTCCTCTTTATATCATATGAAATGTCTTCAAATATTCTCCAGTAAGTATAGGTGTGTGTGTAAAGAACACCAGTCATTTATAGGCAGTCCTTGACTTACAACCGTTTGTTTAGTGACCATTCAAACGGCATTGAAAACAGCGACTTATGAGCGTTTTCACAATTATAATCCATGCAGCATCACTACAGTTATGTGATCAAAATTGACCCTTGGCAACTGGCTCATATTTATGACGGCCACGTGATCCTCTTTTGTGACCTGACAAGTAAAGTCCATGCTTAATAAGCATGCTATTAACAATTGCAATGATTCATTTAACAATTGTGTCAAGAAAGCTCATTAAACGGGGGAACATTTACTTAACAACTGTCTCGCTTAGCAACAGAAATTCTGGGCTCATCCGTGGTCATAAGTCAAGGACTACCTGAAGCTGATTTCTTTTTGTAAGCAAAGTTCAGAGAAATGTGTTTTGGGGGCACAAACTGCAATGTTTGTTCAATGTGCCACTCAAAGTGAGCATGACACTTTCTCCTCACGAGCCATAAGATACTCATCCTCCCAAAACAAGGAAACCTGTGTTAAGCAAGCCACGCAAAGTAAGTTAGCTCTTAAGCCAACCATTAAGCCAGGCACTCCAAATACATAAATCACTCGTAGGGTGGGTCTCCTTAGATTAGGCTAAAACGGAGTTGTATAGTCTGAGATTTAAAGCATTGCAGGGCCCAGCTATTGTCTTAGGAATCTGGGGGCCATATGCTAGACTAAACATGGTTTGTTTGTTTGAGTCCAGCTGTTTCTGGGAACGTAGCAACGGTGCTTCATTCTCATTCATGTGGTTGAGAGTTGAGCGCGTGTTATGCAAATTCTGCCACAAAGGGCCCAAAGTGAATCATATCTACCTATTTAAACAAGATGGCCTCTGCCCAGCCACCTTCACTGTTGATAGTGACACTTCAGAACCAAAGGGTTGAAGGCGTGTTTGAGCACACAGCACGATTGTACATAGAGCACCGAGGGAGATATGACACTGGGGTTAGTAAGGAGGCAGGATGTTGCTCATAGACGGGGCTGCTCCCTTTCTTTTTACAGGCAAATGTAGAGTTGAGGGAGCTTCCACAGCTTCCTGGTCTCTTGTCCCAATTCTCCTTGGCCATAAAGCCCCCTTCGCTCTTATCTCACATGGTTTCTTAACACAAGAAACCTCCCTCCAAAATCTGATCTCAGCAGTGGCACAAATCCAAAAAACTCCTCAGGAAATGCTAAATATGAAGATTGTAAATCTGACCTAGCTCCCATCATTCTACTATGAACGGTGCTTTTCAACCTTGGTCGCTGCTCGGCTGGAGAATTCTGGGGGGTGAAGTCCGCACGCTTTCAAGTGGCCAACTTTGAAAAAGTACAGCTTAAAAACTAAGTTTGTGACGATGCAAACCACGCAGCTCCAACATTGCTTGTTTTCCCCTCTCATACATGTTCATTTAGTGACCGCTCAAAATTATGGCACTGAAAAAAAGGGATTTATGACCATTTTTTGCACGCCCATTATAGCACCCCATGGTAACGTGATCAAAATTCAGCCGCTTGCCAACTGAATCATATTTATGACAGTCGTAATGTCCTGGGGTTATGTGATCCCTTTTGCGGCCTTCCGATAAACAAAGTTCCAAGGGGAATCCAGATTCACTTAACAACTGTGTTGCTAACTTACCAACTGCAATGATTCACTTAACGATTGTAGCGAGAAGAAGTTTGAAAAATAAGGCAAAACAAATGTTTCGCTTAGCAACAGAAATGTTGGGCTCAATTATGGTCGTAAGTCGAGGACTACTTGTATTCTCTTTTTCACTCCAGAGTTGTTATCCAGTGAAACGCTGATTAAGATACCTGGAAATCTCTTAGCCCATCTCACTGGTGACCCTCCAATTCGACAATTTCTGATCTGGGCAAATCTGCTGTAAGATCACACAGATTGTCCACTCATGCAAACCCAGTCATAACCTAGCAGTCCTTAGTCTTCTCCTCCAAACTGCACTTTATTTGCAAAGGGGTGTGTGTGCTCCAGGACAACTAATGCAGTCAGATGAATTGCCTATATTTTAATGGCTTTGCTTTGTTAATCACCTGTGGCTTTTCAATAATTACAAGGTATGATGTCCTGTGTTGCCTAAGCTCAAGTAGTAAGGATCGCTGTGAGCTATTCCATATGATTACAGAGTAGAGTAAGCTAGTCCAGGCAAGTGGATCTCTGCTCTGAAGACAAAATATCCTTCAGCCCACATTTACCTAGGAAAAGATTGTGTGACGCAACCTTCTGCTGTCTAATGTTTGTTATCTGGAGGGTAACAAATTTTGCTGTTCTCAATCAGACTTTGCTGCCAACTCTCCCTACAAGCCAACTCTCACCATCAGAAGGCAATGCAAAAAATGAGACACATCAGCCCCCAATCCTCTGATCATGAATTGATGGGAAATTAAATATGGGCCCAACAAGAAACCTTCATCCTTTCAAGAGGTGGATTAGTTCTTATTTGCTTGTGTCAGGCCTGTCTAAACTTGAGCATTCAGGAAAGAAAGACTCTCAACTCCATTTATAGTCAAACGTTTACTTTTACTAAAGCCAAGTGGTTACGGCATAGCAAAGCCAGATCTGGGGATTTCCCATGTAA